CAGCAAAAATAAACATGAGTCATCTATAATACAGACAACAAAAACACTGCTATACTTGAGGGTGAGCAGACAGACCTGGAACTATCGCTTTTTTCTCCTGTTCTGTTTGTTCTATTCGGTTTCTGGTTTTGTTCTTGTTTTCTTTCTTCCTTCCCATGTCTATCTTTACGAGACAGGCAGGAGGAACAATCCAAGGAGAAAACTAGGAGTCATAGATAAGGAAACAACGAGATCTAAAATTGATGGTGAGGAGAGTATATAATGCCAGGACGGGGCTTGATCGAGGGCACTGTATCCGAGAGGAAATACTGAGAGCTGAATGGAGGGTGAGCATAATAGGGTAGGAAGAAGGTGAAAGGAAATTGAGGAAAGAAATAGGAGGCAAAAGCTATTTATAGAGATATAACTATAGGCATGTATATATGTAAATAACTAATTTATAATGAAAGGGATAGAAGTCAATGTACATATATTTATATGGTAAGTATTAAGATGGCAGACAGACTTTGGGCCTCTACTCAAAAGCTTCCCTTAGCACAAGAACACTTTGTTCTGATAACCTGACAAAATGGGTGCATAAGCAAATAGATAGAGCTTATGGAGTGAGTCTTAAAGGCTTGAAGTAAAACAAGCAACCATCCAGCAGGGAAGCAAATAAGCCCATATGAAAGGAGCACACTAGCCTGTGTGATCATGAGGTTCAATGGGATCAGGCAAGAGGTATCAAAAGATACAAAACAAACAACTATATTGATATGAAAGAGGGGGGTTGGAGTGGAGACCCAAACCCCATCTGTAGATAACTGGATATCCCCCCACAGAAGTGGTAAGAGGAAGGGATGATTCAACCAAGGTGCAGTATAACACCAATGAATCACACATCATTCCTCTAGTTCTTGAATACTTCTGGGACCCCCCCCCACCCCCCCCCCAGCTCTAACTTACAAATCTGGCTAGATGGGAGAACACACATTGACACAGATAAGAACTCTAGACACAGGGAATTCAGGAAAGATAAACCCTCAGGAACAGTAGTGGGAGTAACGATATCATGAGGGTACGGGGATGGTCAGGAAGGGGGAAGGGTGAGGAAAGGGGAACCCATCACAAGATTGTATATAGCCGCACCCGCGCACCCCCCACCCCCGCAAGGGACTGAATAACAGAAATATGGGTGAAAGGAGACAAAGGACAGTCTAAGATATGAAATAACATTAACAATATATCATTGATCAAGGATGCAGGAGAGTGGGGCGTGGGAGAGTGAGGGGGGAAAAAGAGGAGCTTATATCAAGGTCTCAAAGGTCTCAAGCAGAAAATGTCTTGGAAATGATGTCTTGGGATTACAAATGTGCTTGATACAATTGATGTATGGAATGATTTAAGAGCTGTAAGAGCACCCAATAAAATGATGGGAGAGGGAGTTTAAAAAAAACCCAACACACTGCTGGAGGAAATTAATGGAGAATGAAATAAATGCAAGCAGGTTCCAAGATCATGACTGGAAGACTGCATACGGTGAGGTAACAACAGTGCGCACATGACCTAGACAGAGATTCAAACTCCGCCATCAAGTCGATGCCAACCTACAGGGCAGGGCAGGGGAGAGCTGCCCTGTGGTTCCCAGACCCTAACTCTTTGTGGGTGTACAAAGTTCCATCTTCTCTCTCAGAGCTGGCTGATGGTTTCAAACTGTTGACCTTGTGAATGGCAGCCCAATGCATGACTACTTCGCCACCAGGGCTTTTGTTATATTCAACACTATCAAAATCACAATTCGAGACATTAAAGAAACAAATGACCATGACACCCAGAATATGAGTACTAGTCTATTTTCTTTAACAAGGTGGACTTTGGTCTGTTGTTTACTTTAAAAGAACTAAAAGCTAATTAAGACGAGTCAGACTGCACACTTCAGGAGACAGGACCTATCCACCTACATTGGAGAGGTAGGGTCAGTGTGCACAACTGCTGCCTAACTGTCCTCCATTTTATACAGCTCAACAAAGAACTGGCAGTGCATGGGTCTGTAATGGAAATGTCTATCTTCCATCTGCAAAGAACGATGGGACAAAACTTTAAATTCCTAGAAAATGTATTAGAACTTAAATGCTGAGCACGGGTCTGCAGAAAACGACGGTTCATTGATAACCCAAATCAGATACGAGCCTGAGCGCATTCAGCCTCACTGAATTCTTCTTGACTGAGTTCTTCCTCACTTCTGCCCGACCTTCGCCCAGAAGGGAAGGGGGGTGGGGAGAGGTATAGTCCGGCCCTCAGGAATGGCAAGCAGGCCCCTGATAGAAACTGGAGTACTAGATCGCATAGTCATGAGTCATACCCCTGACCAAGGTAGTCATAGGGCCCTGGACCTAGCTTTTCCAACCTCCATGAGGAGCCCTGGTGGCACAGTGGGTTATGCCCTTGAGCTGCTGACCAATAAGGTCTGCTGTTCTTACTAACCAGTCACTCCTTAGGAGCAAGGTGAGGCTAGAGCCACAGCCTGAGAGATCCACAAGGGCAATTCTGCTCTCCTTCCTGTAGGATTACCATGAGTCAGAACTGACTCAACCAGAGTTAGTTTGGGTTAGCTTTCCCACTTCTGTACGCCCACGTGCAACTGCGATAAATTACTCAGCCATCAATTGTGATTTTGTGACCAAAGTCCTTCATTTCCCATGCTCCATCATTTCCCTCCAGGCTATGAATGAATCTTTTGGACACCATGATGGTTTCATGCGGATGGCCTCCCTCATCAAACAATTTGTCTTGGTATCTATAAAGTATTCCTGAACCTGGGGTCTTTTCCCCACTAATACAAAATAAAGGCACAAAATATTACTGAAACTATTTAAGTGTATCTTTCATATCATTGATTAATTTTCAATACTGACAAGATGATTACTAGAAAGGGAAGTCACTTTTCAAAATCAGCAAGACAACGTCAACAACAACAAAAAATCAGCTGATAAGAACTCTCTGAGGGCTATGAAGGAGCCAAGTCCATTTACAACAGCATCGAAGAGAATGAAATACCGAGGGATTAAACCTAGCCAGGAAGGAAGAAAACTTATCCAGGTGAAACACTGTTAGAAGAGATTAATGAAGTCTTAAATAAATTTGAGCTGGGCTCATGTTCCATAGTCATAGATTGAGAGACTCATACTAGTAAGAGCTTTGTAGTACCCAAAGCAATGCAGACTCAACACAATCCCTTAGCAAAGCTCCAACAGCCTTCTTTACAGAAATAGAAAAACCAATTCTGACTTGTATATGAAATGACAAGAGACCTTGAACGGGTAAACTAATGATGGAGGAAGAATCAGCTAGAAGGACACACAGGTCCCGAATGGAAAGAACCCTATACAATTACAGGCAGGAAAAAGCAGCTTTCTACTCCCGTAAAGTTAGTCTTAGAAACCCGCAGGGGGATGGATGGTTCTACTGTGTCCTACAAAGGAGCTGTAAGTCAGAAATGACTCAATGACCGCTGAGGGTCTTATAGTTTATAGTTACAGTAATCAAAACAGCCTGGTACAACAATAGGGGAATAGAAACAGAATTGAGTCCAGAAATAAACCCACACAGCTATGGTCACCTAACTTTTGACAAGGGTGTTAAGTCCATTCAGCAGGTAGTCTCTTCAATAAATGGTACCATGAAAACTGTAATTTTCACATTAAAAAAATTAAATAGGGCCCATGCCTCATACCATACACAAAGACAAATTCAAAATGGACTAAGGATCATCATTAAGGCACACTCTCCCAAAACACCCACCTGACCGACACTGAGTCCATTCTAACTATAGGACGGAGCAGAACTACCCTTGAGGGTTCCCAAGGCTGTAAATTCATCTTGAGGTCAACAGCAAGCTTCAATGTGCTCCCTTGGAGTGGCTGGTGGGTTTGAACTGCTGACCTTGGGCTTAACAACCTAACGTATAACCCACTCCATCCACCACCAGCGCCAAAACCATCCACTGAAGAATCAGGGAGAACACTGTCAGGCCTAACTTTCCATAAGGAATCACCTAAGTGAATAGTAAAAGCACCTACAGTAAGACAAAATAAACAGAATCTCAGAAGATCCAAAACCTTTGTTCACAAGAAGACTTATCAAAACAATGAAATGACAAGTCACCGACTGGGAAACTATCTCCAGAGCCAGATTCTACAGACTCAAAGCATGAGGTTTCAAATGAAATGGAAAGGCATGTGATTTTTTCCCACAAACTTTTTGATGTACACATAAATAAAAGAAAAAAACAAATAGCTCAATCCCAAAGGGACAAAGGGCTTGAATAGACAGTTCACCAAACAGAACAAGTGTCAAACCATGAAAAGATGTTCAGCATCATTAACCAGCAGAGACACACACTGTGAAAAACCACAGTAAGATACCATTCCATGCCCACTAAGATGGCTAAGATCAAGAAAATAAAAAATAAGCAAATAGTACATAACAAGTGTTTGCCCAGGTGTAGGATAGAACCCTCATCCATTGCTGGTGAGAATGTAAAAATTTGAAAGCCAAAATCAGCCTAATTGCTGTATGAACTCACAAGCGGAACTCCTACCCAAATCAAACCCATTAGTTGGCTCCAATTCAGACTGGCCCCACAGGAAAGGGCCGAAATACTCCAAAGGGTTTTGGAGATGAAAAGTCTTTACAGGACCCTGTAGCCTGACCTTTCTCCCAAGAAGCGACTAGTGGTTTTGAACCACCGACTGTGTGTTTAGCAGCCCAACACTGCCCTAATCCACCCCCCCCACCCCCCAAGGACTCCTAAAAATACTGTATGACCCAACAATTCCACGCAAACCCTAAAGATTTGAAAGCAACGACCCAAAATGTGACTTTTGCACCAACGCTCATTCACAGCACTGTTCACAACAGCCAGAGTGGGAATAATCGTCCTACCTGCCAACAGATGAATGAATGAATGAATGAATGAATGAGGCACAAAAATGTGGTGCGAAGTACAATGAACCACTGACCGCTCCATCCACGGGAGAGATGACATCTGGACTCGGGCTCCAGGATGGGTGGATGGAGCGTGAAGGCAGGCAGTATGCTGAGCAAAACACACCAACTAAAACAGGGCTGATACTGGTATGTCCTCACACAAAAAGCGGAGAAGCAAATACAGAGAGACCAAAGTTTATCCGTGTTAATTACGGGTGAGGGTGGGGGGACGGTGGACGATCCTGGTGCTTGCTTGCTGTCAATACTTGCACTGTTGAAGGGGGTGTGTTTTGCTGTGGGCCGGCATATTCTTAACAACAAAAGAAAACGTCAAGTCAAGTCTTCATTTCAAAGGTAACCTGCAGTGCGTCCAAGCCATAGGACTGGGCAAGCCCCCAGCCCCCAGCGGGGATCCCACCTGAGCAGGAGGCCCAAGGCCTTGCCACACGGGCCCAATAAGCAGCGCTGTGATGGAAGGTTGAGGAGACTGCCGTGGCCCATCCAGGACTTCACGGCACTAGGGGCCAGTCTGCAGCACAGGATGTCACGTTGAGGACTGCGGGCCCCTGACCCAAGCCCTAAGGGGTCGCGACTGCCGGAGAAGCGCGCTCGGGCTGCGAGGACGCCGACTGCCCCGGAGGAAGTACAGCCGGAGCGCTCCAGAGGGGCGACGAGGCGACACCGGCCTCACGTGCTTGGGGCCTGCGCTCAGCAGAGGCCAGCCCCCGTGTCTGGTGAGGTGGCGGGCAGCGAGGAGGAGGAGGAGGAAGAGCCTGCAGGAGGAGGCTGACTCC